GTATTTGAAAATGATCGTTTCAGTTTCAAAATGTGTCATTTGTATTTCAAATTAGTCATTTTAATTTCAAAAAGTAACAAATGCAATTCAAAATAATCAATTCAATTTCAAAATGCGTCAATTGTACTTCAAATTAGTCATTACAATTTCAAAAAATTCAATTTCAATTTCAAAATCCACATTTCAATTTCGAAACTAATCATTTCTATTGATGATGCCACAATGACAGGAACCAGAAGCCGATACAATAACATAGTGAATGAAAATATCACCTATGCCAATCTAACGTTTGCTTTTAAATACAAATGACTATTTTGGAACTTGAAGTGTTAGTTTTTGAAATAAATTTGATAATTTTGAAATACAATTGACGCATTTTGAAATTGAATTGGTAATTTTGATATACATTTGATACATTTCGAAATTGAATTGACTAATTTGAAATACAAATGGTGCTTTTTGAAATCCAAATGACAATTTGGAAATATAATTGACCATTTTTGAACTAAAATTAGAAAAGGTGTAGTATTATATATAGGAAAGATTTGATTGTTTGTATTGAATTGGCTCGGAAACTACTGGACCGATTTGAAAAATACTTCTACCATTATAAGCGGACATTATCCCTGATGAACATAGGGTACTTTTTACCCTGGGAAGCAGCTTCATTCCTACGGGAAAGCGGGAAATAGAACAACGGGTAGTAAGAATTATCGTTTCGTACTTATCGTTTTCACATAACTTCTACATGGCTGAACCGATTGGGTTGAAATTTTAAATGGGTATTTCTATGGTTTCCTGGATGATTTAAAACTTCAATTGGACGCGGTAGGTGGCGCCCCTGTCAGTACGTCAACTACTAAACGGCTGGACCGATTGGGTTGAAATTTTCAATACGTAAAACAACAACAAAAAAATACGAAAGATACTGAGAGAATGAAAATACGTGTATACAGGGTAGGTCACGACGAGCTTACACTATCTTTATATCGAGAATCAGTCCGGAGAAATCCATGAAAATGTGCATGCTTATATTTTAGAATACGCTCTCTTTTTTCAAAATATTATCGACAATGCAGTGTTGCCGCTTCTACTAGAAAGTAGTAGCAACATTGATATTTCAAATGGAACACCCTGTATTCTATCGCATTTCTAGATTCTCCCTAAAGAGCTGATTTCATCGATACATCACATTTGGGGTCTATCCAAAAAGATTTCAGAGATATAGGCTGTTCAAAATCGAGATTTTTCAACTTTAGGATTTTTTGTGTCAAAACAATTCATTATCGGTCAAAACGACTCACATGTCCCTATCTCAACGTTTAATTCACTATTTACAGATATTCAATCGGAACATATTCAGGGTGGTTCAAGATTCAGAATTCTGATCACCCTGTATCTGTTCCAATTGAATATCAGTGAATAGTGAATCAAAAGTTGAGATAGGGACATGTGAGCAGTTTTGGCCAATAATGAATAGTTCCAACACAAACAAATCCCAAAGTTGAAAAATCTCGATTTTGAACATCCTATATCTCTGTAATCATTTCCGAGATATACGCTAATTTCGGGCCACCCTGTATATTATGATAATTTGAAAGTATTTTGAAGATATGTTAGATTAATATAATAATTTGAAAATATTATAAATATACAAGGTGATTCTAAAATAGGTGGTCAAATTTTGGGAGCATATAGAGTGGGTGAAATAATTACGAAAACCTCTGTAACATTTTTTTCTGAAGTGACCCCCAAGAAAGATTGAGCCCCTCAAAGGGGGGCCTCGGAGAATGATTTTGTATTATTATCTCCAACACCTTGTGAAATGAAAATCTGAAATTTTGTCTATCCGCTTACTATTCAGTGTCGGTTCGAATGGGGTTAAAATCACCTCAAAATAAAATACAAGGATGTCTCAAAATAGGGAGGTAGGGGGTAAAAATAACCCCAACTTTTTTGTTCATTGCAATTCCAGTTTTTTGACATGAAATTATGAAATCTCAGGGCTATTTACATGAAAAAGGTGCTCTTGTTGCATCTCGATAAAATTAACAATTAGCGAATAAAATTTAAAAAAAGCTTGTTTTCAACAATATTTTTCATTTTAGTGTTTTCAATAGGATCAGACCATAATCACGAAACTCGTCGTCTATTGTTAATTCATCAATTCCGACAATGAATTCAAAATTTCCAAACCTCAAAAACCCATACAAACCAATTTTGAATCGAATCGAACCCTAATCACAAATCTGGTCAGCCACATTGGAGCCGCCCTATTTTTTTCTATCAAAAAGTCCATAACGCGTTGTCAACTGTCATCTGTCAGATTCCAAGTTGATCAGACGATTAGAAGTAGGTGAAAATTCAGTTGCAAGATTTGAACTAGATAAACTCAAAAATTTCAATTTAAATGAAATCTTGGAAAAATAAATTTTATTCGCTAATGGTTCATTTTATCGAGATCCAACAAGAGTTCCTTTTCTATGTTGATAGCTCTGAGATTTCATAATTTCATGTAAAAAAACTGAAATTGCGATGAACAAAAAAGTTGGAGTTATTTTTACCCCCTACCTCCCTGTTTTGACACACCCCTGTATTTAATTTTGAGGTGATTTTAACTCCATTCGAACCGGCACTGAATAGTTAGTGGATAAACAAAATTTTAGATTTTCATCATACAAGGTGTTGGCGATAATAGTACAAAATCATTCTCCGAGGCCCCCCTTTGAGGGGCTGTATCTTTCTTGGGGGGCACTTCAGAAAAAAATATTACCGAGGTTTTCATAATTATTTCACTCACTCTATATACTCCCAAAGTTTGACCACCTATTTTAGAATCACCTTGTATATTTAGCTATAAATGCTTCTTTAGAGTGTACAAATATTGTCATGAGTAAAAGTCAGAAATCAATGTATTCTAGCCTGGAATTTTCATCTTTTTTCAAGAAAGTAAATGAAAATGAACAAAATGAACCATCGAAAATTTGAAATAAAAATCCAATGCTAATGATATTATTTTGTTCAGTACATAAAATTAATTATATTACACCATAAATATAAATATTAAATTATACATATTGCATTATGATGTTGATAAAAAAGAACTTTGAATTTGTAATTATTATTCTATGTCCGATTCATCTGAAAAACAATTTTGACAATAGTTTTCAGGACCACTTTGTTGCACGTTCACAGTCACACTAAATTTTTTTTTTTAATTCGGCAACCATCATTCAGGACTTTTGCTGGCAACCCAGTAGTAGCATTGTGTTGGCAATAAAACAGCACTTATTAAATTTTATTGAAAGCTTTTATTTAACTTGCAATGTATGTTTGTATGGATGTATGTATGTATGTTCGGGTGGAATCTTTGAACTCAATTTTGAAGTAGAAATCTTCAATCGATTGAGCTGAAATTTTGTATACTGGTTCAGTTTGGATGACAATGCACGATAAGGTGTGTCACGTTATTCTAAATCCAATATGGCGGACTATCCAAGATGGCGGAATAGCTATTTTTGCGTATTTTTTATATACTTTTACAATAATTATATGTGTATCAAATGAAAAGGCTCGTTGAGAGTAACTCGAAAAATAATGTGACGTCATTCTAAATCGAATATGGCGGACCATCCAAGATGGCGGAATGGTCATTTTTAATCTACTTCTACAATATGGGTATCAAATGAAAGGGCTTGTTGAGAGTAATTCGAAAAATAATGTGACGTTATTCTAAATCCAATATGGCGGACCAACCAAGATGGCGGAATGGTCATTTTCAATATACTTCTACAATATGGGTATCAAATGAAAAGGCTCGTTGAGAGTAAATCGAAAAATCCAGCTAGGGATAAAAAAAAACTTTTTAATAAAAAAGCCTTCAAAAAAAAGAAAATAAAATGTTTCTTGATAATTTCAACTATCAACTTATAACCTCATTATACACAATTTATATGATCATAAAAGCTTGTTGCAATGACCAATATTTATTTAAATTGTAATTTTAAAAATTTCATCTCAGCAGATTTTACATAATAAGTACTAGTTCATTCACACAAGTGAATCATGTGACAAACTTCTATGATCATATAAATTGTGTATAATGAGGTTATAAGTTGATAGTTAAAATTATCAAGAAAAATTTTATTTTCTTCTTTTTAGAGAGTTTAAAAGAGAGCTTTTTATTAAAAAGTTTTTTTTACTTTTAATTTATTTTTATGTTCAATTTATGGATAAAACAAATAGGTGAACATAACTAGGACCAAAATACCTTCTCAGTTTTCATACCTGGCAACCCATATATAGGCAACCCTATTTTTGCCTATTCTATAGGCTTTGTACTTATGGTTGGTGTAAATTTTGGTCTTCACACTCATCAGTAGAATTGAAAAAAAGTGATTTTTGATTTTTTAATTAATTATAGTCTGGCCAGGATTTTGTCAGGAAACTATTTGTTTTCTTTTCAACCTACAGACAGTATGCTAAATTACTTTTAAAATAATTCTCATCAATTAAACAGATGGTGAAGGTGGACCTTACCAGGCAGAGTTTGTCTCTGAATTGAATCTGAGAGCATCAGCATATGTTTGGGTACTGAACCACATGTAGAGTAAAGTAGATTTCCACATGGAATATTACAAATTTCTGCTTTTCTCCAATAATTCAAAATTCAAAAATGATACATTAAATTTTCCTCCAGATAAATGTTTAACATGAATATGCCCAAGTTTTGCTTCAAAACAACTGACCTATCTAATAACTGAGATCTGAATGATTGAGCTCAAATAATGGACACCTGTTTATGTATAAATGAAACTTTCAATGTTCAGCTATATTTGACATAATATGCAAGAAAAATTAAAACTAAAATTATAATAATTGATGAGTGCTGATTCAGAATTTTCAAAACTCTTTCTGTTGAGATCTGGGGTTCAAAATTAGCTGTAAAATCTGGATTCAATAGGGGTATATAAAGCAAATAAAAACATAAGCATCATTACCTACAAAACTGTTGCGTCTTCGCTTATCAAAATCATCATTCTCATTATCACAATCAGTCATAATCTTGGCACTACCCAAATCTGTAATTAGTAGATGCCAGTTTTCTTGGAACAGAAGATTTTCCGGCTTCAAGTCTCTATGAACTATGCCTCTGTCATGCAGAAATTCGAGCCCAAGTATCAATTCAGAAGTGTAATACCTGGCACACTCAATGCTCAAGCACTGTTGCTTCTCCAATTGAGAAAGCACATCTCCGTTTTTGGCATAGCTCAGAACAAAGTAGAGACGCTCAGGGTCTTGGAATGTCCAATATAAGCGGACGAAATAGGGAGAGCTATTGCCCAGTATTCGCAGGACCTCTTTTTCTCTCATCACATTTTCAGTTTTTTTTTCACGAATTATGTGTGCCTTCTCCAGTACTTTTACTGAAATAAATAGATATTATTAATGATGGGAATACTAAAAGTCAGACGTAGATCTGAGATGCCTCAGTTTATTGGATATGAATATGTTTGTTTACCAAGATTCTTGTGATGATCAATGTATTTAAAAAATCACTTACTTGCATACTCTTTGTTCGTGTGAATGTCTTTTGCTAAATAAACAGTGCTGAAACTTCCTTCTCCTAGCACCTTCCCAAAAATGTAATCAGATGGTGTCCTTTTACGAACTTCTTCAGCTGGTGGTGTCATGTTGAAGTTAACACTGGGGCACAAACTAAAACCATGAACTTCTAAGCAAACACACATAAATATTTTGAATTGTTTACTGGGATACTGGGTTTCCCATTCAAAACCATTATCTGTGGTTGGGAATTTATCTCCTTTTTAACGTATTCATAAATTCCATTACCACACTCACCTTCAACACTGGAAATACTGGATTACTGGAATCAATTAGAAACGTCACTCGTCAGACGTCATTCATTGACGTCACTCATTTACGTCTTTACGAGGAAAAAGCGCTTTTGATAAACGCATGCGCATTAGTTCGCCGGAAAACTCAAGACGTGAAAAAAGGCGAAAATAATAATCCTTAAAAGATAAAAGTAGTATGCCACAATCATTGACAATGGGCTGACGCCATGCTAGTTAGTAGTACGGAATACGGATAGAACCGGCTCTGAATTAAACCTTATGATAGTAGTGTTGGCTCCATTATTCTGAAATACTGGGGCAAAGTGGGCAAAGTAGTATATTTTCCAGAAAATTACTTGAGAGCACGAAACATATACGTTTCCATTATTTCTAAACACTCTAAGAACTCAGTTCAGCCTGAGACCCTTTCTAAAAATTACTTGACAGTTTGAAGGAGACCACTTTTTCTTAACAATCCAACCTAATCTAGCCTATCTTTTTTTTTTTGGAATATTTTCGATAAAAAATGCCATAGCTTTCAAGCTTGCAGGGCTATTCGGCAAAACTGTGGGATTTTCGACTTCGACATTGACCTCATATTCTAGTAGCGCATACTATTGTGACAGCGAAAATGTTAGTTGTTTATTTTGTTTCCTATTGTTGAAATTAAAATCTGGTGCGCGTATCATGAAATTATGGTCGCACAGTAAACAAAACAGAAACGTCTCTTGCCAGTCATTCAATTAGTAGCTTGCTGCCGTGCTGCGGAAAATCTCAAGATTATCAGAAGTCATGAGGAAGAAAAATATCGTTTCTGTATGAGAAAGGAGAATCCTTCTGATCTCTTGGTCAAAATGAACTTTTCTCCTGAAAAGTATATTCTTTCGAAAAAAATTGAACAAAATTGACTCCTCGCAGGGAGTTGCACACGAGCCACCACTGTGGAAGTCAGAGGGGCAGCCTTCAATATATGACGCATCGCCTAGACGATATCTCAACAAAAATGGGACCAAAATGAGAGGTACAGTCGTACTCAATAAAAAAGCGTACAAGTATTAAAAAGAGAGGATTTCGGGATCCTAGTTCTAGTTGTGTAAAACTGGCTCAGCCAATGCTTTGTGTTTTCGAGAACCTATGACAACTTTACTGTCAACATTTCGTGAACAATCATTCCCGATAGCCTGTTTTATGCAGAATAGGATGACGTTAATTTCTCTCTGTGATATACTTGTAAGCTTTTTTTTTTAATGCGACTGTACTTTTTGAATCTATAACGACGGAAACTGAAGGATGGAAACGGCCATATTGGTTTGACAATTGTCGCCGAGTGGCGATCATGCTAGTTGGGCGGGTAAAAGTACCCTGTACAACTAGCATGATGACATTGATTGCCAGATTTGAGTTTGGTCGGTCTCGTATCTGTCAGGGTTTTGAAAACGCAAGTTGGAGAATCATTCCTCTAATCTAGTCAATTTATCAAGCCAATCATTCCCTATGGAGTCTTTTCCATCGGGAGGAAGTTTTCATGGTTCTCCATGCGAGAATTCCCAGGACAAGGAAGTTAATCTTCGACATGGTGACCAACGTGGGGCCCTAAGTTATTCCAGATGGAATGAAACGAACCCATTCAACTGTCTTCCAGGTACTCATTTCGAAAATGATCAGTTTCGTAGTTCTGAAAAAACTACGTGGCGCCCAGCACAACAAAACGATCAAACTAACAGTACCCTGAAAGAAGTAGCTCTGATCACAGCACATATCTGGGAGGAAATCAAATCTCAACAAACCGTGAATACCATCAAATCACTCAGCTACAGCGGCCTGGATTGGGAGTGTCCTCGGCAGTTTTTATTGGATCTCGAGATATATTTTGAAAAGTACCGAATTCCTGAGAGCATCCAAGTTCAGAAAGCGGCCGAATTTCTAGAGGGTGAAGCAAAACGTTGGATTAGTTCTTTCGAAGGACGAAATTTATCATTCTCTGATTTTTCCGGTAGATTCCTCACTAAATTCGATAATGCATCTATCCAAGGTAAACTTTTTGCTCGCTTATATGGTGAAAAGCAACGGAATGAATCAGTACTTGTTTTTTTAACGAAGAAGAAAGCCTTATCTCGTCGCTTAGAACCTAATTTGCCTGAAACTACTATGATAACTCGCTTAGTTGTTAATTCCTGAGCTGAGATTGAATCTACGAGGAAGATCATTTTCTACAATGGAGCAGATGATTCAGGAGGCTACCTTGACGGAACAGGATTTGATAGAGGTACGTGATCGGCATAAATCGATGTCTGCACCGAGAGAGAACAATAGCTCTCACGCCGGTCCCCGCACACCTTGTCATTACTGCAGTGGCTGGCACTACAACAAAGATTGTCCACAAAGAAGAACCGCCTATTCTGTGCCTAATTCGCGGAGAAGAGACTTTTCAAGACATGACAATCAGGAAAACTAAACCAGGGTCGGAGCGAACCAGGACGCCCGACCCTCGGCACCATTTATAGTCCAATACCCGATCACAGCTTACCACGTATCAAAATATCAATCAATAATTCCCCTGTGTTAGCTCTTCTGGATAGTGGAGCAAGTCACTCATTCATTCAAACTAGATTTGTTCGAAATTTAGAAGTGCAGTTGTCTTCATTGCCAGTCCATCTAGCTGATGGAAATCATTCCCTCAAAACTGAGGGCAAGATCCAAACTTCTGTTTCATTACAAAATCACCAGCTATCAGCTGAATTCTTGGTTATGGAAAACCTGACTGAAGAAGCCATTCTTGGACGAGACTGGTTACAAAAACATCATGGAATCTTGGACTTCGTAATTGGTTGTATCTACCTGGGGAACAACCAACGTATCACTGCTTATTGGAGTAATTCATCAGACAAAACTGGAAATGGGTCCATGCCTCTAGTACTACACAATAATCAAGTGCCTGAAGAAAGACGCGAAGAATATGAAAACCTTCTCGTGAGTTTTAAGGATGTTTTCGAAGAGTCATTGCATCAACCTTCTACAAGACTAGTAAATCATCACATCGTTCTGAAGAACGATACCCCATTCAGAATTCGGCGTTATCAGTATTCTCCACAAAAAAGACAAATTATATATAACGAAGTTCAGAAAATGTTATCGGCAGGAGTGATCAGAAGGAGTAGGTCCAGTTTTTGTTCACCGATAGTCATTGTGGAGAAGAAAGATGGCACACCTAGATTTTGCGTTGATTATCGCCAACTCAATCAGCAATCGGAGACAGAGGCATCTTATCTCCCACCAATAAGAGAAACTATCAGAGAACTTGGTACTGGACGTATTTTCACTTCTCTGGATTTGAAAAGTGGTTACTGGCAAGTGCCTTTACATGCCGATAGTGCACCTTTAACTGCGTTTTCAACCCCTGATGGCGCCATGTATGAGTTTGTCGTTATGCCGTTCGGATTGAAGAATGCACCATCTACTTTTCAAAAGATGATGACGCAAGTTCTCGAAGGATACGTTGATAAATTCGTGAAAGTGTATCTGGATGACATAATAATATTCTCAGAGACACATGAATGTCATCTCCATCACCTCGCACTAGTTTTGGAACGTCTGCGTATACATACCCTCCAATGTTCTCTGAAAAAATGCCAGTTTGGAGCTTCTCAAATTGAATATCTGGGCCACTGTATAACCACTGACGCTAACTTCCCTCAAGAACAACATATCCTGAAGATCAAACGGTATCCAAAACCAAAAACAATGAAGGAACTTCAAGCATTTCTGGGCACGGCCAACTGGCTGAGGGAATATATTCCAAATTTTGCTTCTCTAGTCACCCCTTTGACTGATTTAACTGGAAAGAAAATTTTCCATTGGACACTGGAAGCAGAGAAGTCATTTGAAGAATTGAAAACAGCTTTGGAACAGCCTTTGCTACTCCATAGACCTGATCCAATGAAGCCTTTCGTTTTGCAAACGGATGCGAGTCAGCAGGGTATGGGGGCCGTTCTTTTTCAATGGGGAGATAACGGAGAGCGTAGAATCATCTCATATTCCAGTGCAAAATTCACGAAGGCTGAGAAGAAATATCATGTGAATGAACAAGAGACTCTCGCAGTTGTATGGGCATGTAAGCGGTTTCGACCCTATTTGGAAGACCAACCTTTCACTTTAATCACTGACAGCCGCGCACTCATATGGTTAGACAAATATAAAGATGATAAAGCGAAGCTCACACGATGGTCGTTACTTCTGCAAGAGTTTTGCTTCTCTGTTAAGCACTGTCCGGGCAGGGAAAATCAATTACCAGATTTTCTATCTCGTTTTCCCCAACCATCGGTTGAAGAAGAAAAAATAGACAGGACTGAGTATGACTCAAGATTAACTCCTCCTAGCCCACCGGAAATACCATTGAATAATATCAATGAGCATGTATCCCTAGCCCTACTGAACACTGAAAATGCTCTATACAATGCTGTTGTTGAAGCTCAGAGTCGAGATCAAAATATTCGGGATACTAAGCAGCAGTGGCTCAATTACCAACGACAACCCAATTGTCCCAATTCAAGAATCAGTAAACGATACCGGACATTTTGTGAATCCTATTTAGTCGAAAACCATGTACTTTTCCATAGACATAACCAGAAGAAAACTTTGGTAGTACCAATTGCTCTACAACCTCGTGTAATATTTGAGTATCATGATTCAGAGATTGCTGGTCATCCTGGTAGAGATGAAACCTATAGGGCAATTAACCAAAAATATCACTGGAGCGGAATGTGGAATATGATAAGCAAGCATATAAGAGTCTGTCTGATTTGTGCGTCTACAAAGGCAGGTGCGAGACAGCCACATGCACCACTAAAACCAAAGCCGCCAACTCAGCCATGGCAAACTATCAGTCTTGATGTCATGGGACCTTATTCGGTAACCCAAAACGAAAACAAATATCTGATTGTAGCCACGGATATAGGATCTAAATGGATAGAAATTGCTGCTACATCTGATTCAACTACAAAAACACTGACTTCAT